CCCTGTAACAAGAGTTTTCTGCCAAAAAATCCGCCGTTTTTATCCCCGCAGAAATACATAACTTTCAGCCTGCGTAAGCGGTATGACTCGACTCGAATGAACGATAATACTGGCGCACCGAAAGAGATGATTAAGAATTCCGTTGAAGGTATCTTATCGGACAGGAAACTCAGCTAGGCGCGCGTTTGGCAACGCCGTACCTGTTCCACGCCAACCACCGTCAATACCAAAGCAAGATCGGTCGGAGCAGCGCCTAAGGACGAAATCATGTCCACGGTTAAAAACATATACCTTTTTTATACCTCCTACTGTCATCGCTGTCAGGCAATTATTTGATAATGGAACTTCGAAAGCTATTTTTTTGAAGTAAAGTCAGTTTATGAATACTGTGTGAAATTTTTCGCCCGCCTGATCGTTGGTCCCGCCTGATCCTGTGTTCTGAATCAGACGCACCAACGACAGTCTATAAGCTTCTTAGTGAGAGTTCAAAATGTTTAAGAAAATCGTGCCAAAGGGTTCCAAAGCGAAAAGAAAGTCAATCACCCGACTCTTGAAACTTGAGTTGTGTAAGGTGGCAGTGGACTGGAAGAACAATACACACTGCGCAGCATTAAACAAGGGGACAACTACATTTCTGTGCCTCCTAATTCAATTTTCTGTCAATTTTTGTAATGTATTTTCGCCTCGTTGCAGAAGGGATCAACTCCGACTGTCCTGTCCGCAACTGTTGTTTGCAGCAATTTTGCACTTTTGGGCGCAATTTTCAAAGTTTACGCAGGGGAAGGAGTAATTGGTTACGTCAAGGACAGATCCCAAGAACGATTCTTCAAGTTTTTGCCCCATTTTAGTAGTTTTTGGAAAGTAAAAGAATTATTCACAACATTTGCACGCAAATTACAAATCCCCAGATAAAATTTTATTTAATACCGTTAAAAAAGGTAATAATCGAAAATATAACGTACATTCAAAATTTGCAATTATTTTGCATTTTTTTCCAAAACAAAAATTAATTTTCATTATTAAAAAATTGCGAGTCAACGAGATGACTACGGCACAAGAGTCGACTTTTAGACGAAATTAAAGTTCTCCATACAATAAGGCAATAATAAATATAATTCTGTTAACAATAGGGGAATAGACCTACGTGTCCATCCGGCCCTCAACACCAAATTTTAAAACTCATCCACACACTACGTAGGTTATTTGTATCAGATAATTAACGCCGAAATAAAATGTTTTATCATGCGAGGCTATGGTGCCTCGTTTGTACATTTCGCACACCTATGTCAACAAAAGGCGAAAGTGGGTGAGAGAACCACCGGAAAAGGGTCATGCCAATTGCAACCACCCGGCGTCATCATCAATGTCATTTCATCATCCATTCAATGATGAGGAGGATGATGAGGATGAGGATGGAGAGGGCGAGGAAGAGGAGGAGGAGGGAAGGAGAGGGAGAGGAAGAGAGAGGGAAAGGGAGAGGGAAAGGAAGAGAGAGAGAGAAAGGGACAGGAAGAGAGAGAGAGAAAGGGACAGGAAGAGAGAGGAAGAGGGGCAGGGAGAGGAAGAAGAGTTAGGAGCCTCTACAGCGCCACCAAACTGCCCTAAAAGCGTTCAAGCACTTCCACGAGCTTACGAGACACAAAATGCAGGCGTAAGTGCTGAGCTGCAATGGACGTACGAATTGGGGAAGATTCAGTCACTCTAGAATTGGGTCATGTTTGAGACCTGTCCAATCCGACCGTGCGTATAGAGACGAGAAGCGACGAGAGCCGAGCACTTACCTCCGCGCACCCGGCCTCCTCCAAGCGCCTCCGCAGCTCCGCGTTCTGCTTCTTGAGCGCGCAGATCTGCAACACACGGGCACTACGTCAGCCACGGCAGAACGAGCAGAACAGCAGATAGCAAGAGGGAGGGAGCAACTGAATGTCTGGGCCCCCGTTCCCAGTGAACTTTTTTTATACGTACTAGTGGACACGGCAATGTATTACACTTCACATACTAGTCATGCGATTGATATTCACGTTTCACGGTACGCTCAGCAATAATGTCAATAGATGGCTTTCTCTCTCCGTGTCGTTGTGTTCCCTTCTCCGACTCTCTCTTTCTCTCCGTCTTTCTCTCTCTCTTTCTCTCTCTCTCTCCCTCTCTCTCTCTCTCTCTCTCTCTCTCTCTCTCTCTCTCTCGAGTTTCTGTTTCTCTCTCTGCGACTCTGTCTTCCTAAGTTCTCTGTATATCTGTCTCTCCCGGGAGAAATTTCACAATCTCAGGGGCAGAATACGCAATGAAGTCATTTTAAAAATCGTACTTCAGGGTGCGGCGGGTTGCGTAGTGCAACGTTGTGTAGAGCGCCCTGTTCCCTTGAGTCTTCATAAAAGCATCAACGCGCGTCAATGAGCGCAGTCTCATTGTACTGTCCCTATAATATTCTTCCCACAAGTGCAAGCAATAAGTTGACAATTTTATCGCAACCGGATGAATAGTACGGCAGCGCATTACGTACGATCAAACATTGTTTTTTATAGGATGGCTGTTGCTAAAGTGATTCTTTCCTATTTTTTATTATTTATTTATTTATTACTTCATTTTTTGTTCTCGACTTTGTTTTTATTAGCTTCGAATATTTAATCCGGTTGTTCTTAAAAAGCTTCTTCAGGATCAAACATATCATGCGGCGGAGATTTAAGGTTGACATGCGGACAATACTATTATCTTTACACTGGGAACTAGTAAAACTAGACCATTTGCAAACCCAGGAAAAGACGCTCCTGCGTCAACCTATTGTTAGGCAAGAAATACCTTTTTACCATCCCTAACAGTTTGAGGCTGGAAATCGTACATAGAAGTGTATTTCCGATTTCCCATCACGACATTAAAATGCAATATCTGAAACAGACGTTTCGGGATCTCCTAAGTATTCGAGGTGAACCACCGCTGGCTCCTAGACTTTCCGAGCTACCAAACGCTTAGGCGTTCTTGAAAGAAGGACACATGAAATCCCGTACTTCTAGATATTGAGAAGATCTGCCCAAATTTAGTGTGTTTTTTGGTCGTGGTGTTGTGTGTGTGTGGTGCGCGTTGCAAATCCTTATATGAACGACTTGCTGCGTGCACGTGTGTGGATAGTTGAGTGCGTTTGCGAACTCACACAGCTCTTTTTTTCATTGTTCTGTGTTTTATATCTTTACATAACAGATTATGATCGCTGAATCGTTTGTATTTGTGTGTTTGTTTGTGTGTTGTCACGGCCGCAGCCGGCTTGCAGCCGTGTCGGGTGGTGTGTGGTGAATCTCGATCTTCTGCGCTGTGGGTGGAATTACAACATCGTAGGTTTGATGGAGTGAACTTTCCTCGGAGTCTCGATCGAGAGGAATCGTTACTCCGAGGGCGATCGCAAAGCGTGTCATTTTCTTAAAGCAGAAATCAATCAAATCTCACTGGCCTGTTACGACGTTTCTCAAGGGAACCCGCGACCCGGTGAGGAGGAACTCCTCGCTGTGAACTGTTACCTATGGAACGTCTCTTGCCCGTACACGATGTTATATGTCACATGTGCTTGGCAAAAAGCGGCTGGGTCATGTGCATGAGGGAGCGTTTGGTTCGACGGTGACTCTTTCAATTGAAGCTGGCCGAAAATGCCGGCTGCGGCCTGAACCAAACCAGTTTCTCTGTCTCTTTTACTTCTCGGCGTCGTCTCAAATTTAAACAACATGTAGTGCAATTTTATAATTGCATATGTCATTTAAAGTGAATGTGCAATTAAGAACATGCCAGAGTCGCCTCTGTTCTACACCAGTGTCACCTTGCGAAGTATTTCTTGAAATGATTGGGAAATGATTGAATCGTTACACGACTCATGTGGCAGACGCTTAACGCAAGCGTATTTCATTCCCTTGTCCTAGAGGCACGGTCATTTAAGATCTCAACGCTGTCGGCGGTAAGCGACCTTCATTCTGAAATGGCGTTCATGCTGCTCGACAAATGGACGAACAAACACAAGAAGAAGCAAAATACTGTGTACATCTCATTCCGAATAACGGCGGATTTTTTTAATTCATTCACTTTTTAAAATAAAATACCATTTTATTCATTTATCACAAAAGTCAACAAGTTTGCAGTTAATGCACCAAAATGTCGTTTTGAGCTCGGCAGGCACGATATGCACTCTTTTACGTAAGCTTATAACGAAACAAAAGCGAAATGCTACTTAAGACATAAGACAATTATAAACAAGAGTTACCGAGTTTTGCACAAAAACGCTAATATACATAAACAAGAAAACTGTTACAAAACACACACACAACACACGCAAAAAATGCGTGCCAAACTACCTGTTATGGATTACGGGTTTGGTTTTTCGATACACCAAACGTAAAGAAAAATATTGATCATGGAATGAAAATATTTGTTTTAAATTAAATGCTGAAAATAAGAAAGATGAATGTTTTCGGATGATTGACAAGAAGCTTTTAATACTTATTGAATTCCTTGTTTAGCTTACTGACTTGAGGTTTATGTGTGGCATTTAGGGGTATTATAGTCTACTGCCACAAATCATGAAATGTTTGATAACCTGAGTGGAAGTGCGCGTTTGCATTTCATTATGTAAAAATAATGCTGCTATTTTTGTCTCGTTACAGTGATTCAGGGTCACTATTTGAAAATTAATATTTTATTATGAATAGCATAAAATTCGTTAAATTTTATAATCTTGAATTTTAAATACATGTAAAATCTCTAAGTGTTAGCGTTTGTATAGTAATCTGTTGGGTTTGTAAGCAAAATTTCCGATAATGCGTTTTTGGTATAATTGTAAAAGTTTTTAGTATATTGGCAATGGCACCCCGAGCCGTATACAATACAGCCCATTCCGTATTGCTTAATGACCATGGTTAGTAAAACCATTAAACCATTGTTTTAGTAAAAAAGTTAGTTGAATGGAGAGCATTGTTAATTTTGTGCCATAGAATTTATTTTTTCAAGAAGACCAGTTTTTTATACGATAATTCAGATAACAGTTTTTAACGATAGATGCTAAATGGAATAAAATCATTTCGTTGTAAAATTAATCGTAAATACCTACAATAAAACGCGCGATTGCCATATTTTCATTAAAAGTTTCTTATTCATCGGCGTTTAATAAATTTAGTTGAGCACTTTCATTTCGTGTTCACCCTGGTTGACGCAACCCGCTGACAACATGTGTTGCGTTACTCCGATGTTATGTTGCCAGTGACCCTCCGATCATAATTCGCGCATTAATATTAGCTTGCGCCACCGAGTTCTGATGCAACATCGACCATAAAACATCCACGTTAATAATGTAGCCCACCAAAAACGCATCGATGTTTTAAAAAACTTGTTTAGAATTTCCACGATTAAATCTCGTGCCGATACAAAATTTAATTTGGGCTGTGTCGTCTATTGTTAAAATAATCATTAAAATTGAACCAACAAGAAGAATAACAAAGGCCTGCGCTCATGTAAAAAAGATAATGAAAGACGAAGGAAAAATACTAGGAAATCAAATCTTGTTCGATGAAGAAGCACGAAGTTAGTCTGTTATTATTTCATATTTGCCTTTTGAAAGTTTTTTGAAAAATTATTCGGCCATGAACATTGTCGCACATGGATGAAAGCGGAAATATTTGTTCGAGGCACGAGTGCCCATCCTGATAGAGATAGGTTGACAATGGCCGAAATCTTTGCATTGAGGTAGCGACATCGAGTGTCTATGTTTTTTATAAAAATCATTCGAAGTGTTGTAAAATAGATTTTTTGTTGTGAGCCGATGTTATTAGCATCGATGTTTTGTGTTCGAATATCTTTTTGTTGGTCGATATTTTGAAAATAAAGAAAAAGTCCCTCAAAAAATCATACATTGTAATTTATATATTGCTGTTAAATTGAATATACCATATGACAAAGTGACTAAACGGGGATAAATCGATTTTTCTCAATAAGAAGCCTCTGTAATTTTCGAATTATCGATCAGATAATCTACGTTTGGTTAATGTCCCCGATTGATTCTTCAGATAAAATTTCAATAAAAAAGTAATAAACGATACCAATTTCAAATTCCCCACCCCCCCCGCGTGAAACTTCCTGGTTACTGTTTAAAACCCCTGTTTTAAAAAAAAAAACAAAAAAAAAAATATCCGATTATTTACTGCCAATCGATGGACTTCTCATTAACATGGACGGTGTTCATTGTTGTGGGTGGATTGCTAGTTAGTTTCTGACGGCCGTCGCATCGCATCTCTCTGCGGAGTTGTGAATGTGCGACGTGATGAAAACAAATATAATTATCAAGAAAACTAAACTAATTAATATGAAATTAAAAAATATATATATATTAATATATATATATATATATATATAATATATAATTATATACAGTTATTGCTGCCAAATCTTAAGTTGCCGGCCCAAAGTGGCCCCGAACCTTCATCCATTTAGGTTAAGAATTAGATATTAGAAATAAGCTTAGTTAGAGTAAGTCACTGCCCCCTTCTTTTGCCGCACAAGCCAAGAAGCGCATGATACCCCAACATGACCAATGAAACTTGCCGCCTCGCCAGGGCTGACTGGCCGGGTGGGGGAAAGTTGGAAGGAAAAAAAAAAGAGAAAGAAAAAAGAAAAAGAAAAAGGGAAAAAAAAAAAGACGGAAAAAAAAGGCCTTGTGCGCGAGGGGTTTGCGCCTGGCTGGTCGTGCCGCGCGGGCGTTGGAGCCACTGGGCCAAGCCCCACGCCGTGAGCATGATAACGCGCTCCCCCCCTCCCCGCCCTGCGGCCCGATTAGCTATCCCACGGCCGTTGGAAACGGGGCGCGCTCGCCGCTCCTCCACCT